CTACACGACTAACGAGCTTTCGCGGCCGCGTTTGTTTCGACGATTTGCCGCGCGCGTGGCACGCAGAGAGGGTTCGGGTTGCGGGAGCGCGCGCGCGCGCCTCTGTGTATCGGGGAGCGAGAGAGAGAGAAGGCTTCCGGTGGAGAAGGACAGCGGCGACCGAGCGTTGGAGAGGGGCGCGCGCGACAGTGGATGGCACCGCCCTTCTGTTCTCTCGCTATCCGTGGCAGCCATGCAGAGGACACGGCGAAAGGATGCGGCCTTTCGCGCCACTCGTTCGACGTCATTGAATTTTCCTGGCCGATGAAAATAAATGGGTTCGAAGCGTAATCGAAGCGTAATCGAATTAATTGCCGCGACGCGTTCGATCCCCTGTCTTTCTCGCTCCCACGCGCGTCCGGCCTCGCGGACCGTTTCGACCGCGATGGCGGATGTCTGCGATCCCGTGTCCTCGATGTTCGTATCGAACGTAGGACGAGGAGCACGAGCGAGATAACGAGAAACCACGGGGGAGAAAGGGCGGAAAAGAGAGAGACGCGATGGGGTGAAAAGGTGGAATTAGGGAAGGCGGAGGTGGATGATAGCAGCGCCTTTTTATTTTCATTATCGCGGCCCGCCAGAGGGCGTCGGAAAGGCGCGCGAGCGCGGCCCTCCGGGGCTTTCGTTTCCCGGTGAATACCGATGGAGTCGAAGTAATTGCGTTAATAGGTGTAATTAATTAGCACGCTGATAACTCGACGCTTTAATCCAGGGGAAAGAAGATTCGCTCGACCATTCATATTTTCGTGATTCTCCACTGCTATTTTAAAGCGCGGAATGAATCATTTCGGTACTCGCCCTAAAAATAGTCGAATGTCTCGCGCGGTACAGAAATGACTGTTACTCCGACACCGGTCGTACGGTACGGTCTCGAGGTGTTCGGGGATCGTGGAATAAACGGCGAATCTGTGATTCCTGACCGGTCGTCGTTGTAGTCGCCGTTGGAGCGATTATTAGCCGTGTTTTGGCGAAAGTCGTTACATTACCGATTTGTGTCGCGTTGCAAACACGTGTCGCGTATTAGACGCGTGACGTTGGCGAAGTAACGTGGAGAGAGGGGTGGGGAGACCGGAGAGGCAGGAAGACGACCGATGGCGCCGTACTTCTTTTCTCATTATCTTAACCACAGGGTTCCAGTGGTATGCAACGTTCTTGGTACAGTAACCTGTTTTCCCCTCGCCTGCTTATCGTTCGTTTAATAAATTCTCCTTGGGCAACAAAAAGTCCCCACGATACG